TTACTTTAAATAAAAATGCATATCTATACTTTTCTGAGTAACTTCTTAATTATAATACTGGAAATATTAAAAGTTTGACAACATTCTCTTGAGGAGGCTGCACGAAACAATTACTGTCATAAACTGCAGGTATTCATGCAAAGTGGCAAATGCTCTTCTTTTTGGTGGCTGAATCAGCTCTGACCACCAACCACCTTCCCCAACTACCCTAGCACAAGATTAGCCAGAGGAGCACAGGAGGGATTTTAGAAACGGCTTTCCCCTTGGCATACCCGCAACTATTCAAAGCCACTCTGCTTTCATTATTTACTGAAAACTATGCAATTTTTATTTAATATTACTTTCAATTGTATTTGATATAAGCAGCCCAGTGGCCCATTTGTATTGCTGAAAAGCTAACTTTGTTTAGAAGGATGAAGAAAAGCCTTTTAAACTACTCTGGTTATCTTATATTTATCTGAGCTTCCATACTTACTGACTACACAGTACCCTTCATGTGCTAGACTTTCAATATTAGAGTATCATTTCTATACTTAAAAAGGCAAAATAAAATATATGCAACATAATCTTTAGACTTTCATTTAATAAAGCTGACATCAGGAAAGATTTTTTTCTCACCAAATCAATGCCATTCCCTATTTTAAATCACACAAATTAAATTCATTTTCAAATAATCCCCTTTACAATGTGGTCTTGACTTTCATAATCAATCTTATTCTTAATAGTTTCCAGTTATATTTAGAAAACATATTAGACCATCATAAAACAGATCTAAAGCTAACAAACCATTTTAACAGGATTCTGTTAACTTTTAGATTACCTTATAGCTTTCTGTAGGTATCAGTTAAACTTCCTATAAAACTAAGCCCATTTTCTCTTCTCCCTGGGCACATAGCTATATTATATGGTTCAGTGTTCCTTGCATAAATGTGGCCATATAACTGAGTTTTAGCCAATGGAATGTGAGAGATGTGACGTGAGCTTCTTCTAGACCTACCTTGTAAGACCATTAATGGATGATCCCCATGCCCTTTCCTCTTCTGCTTGCTTAATCCTGTCATCACTGTAAATTTGGAGGCCCTCTAAAAGGGTAGTAAGCCATGATGTGGAAGACTCCTAGTTGCTCAAATCACCTTCTAAATGGAGGGGAGATACCTGCCTATCAGGAAAAATCATTTTGAACTTTAAGGAAATCAGCATTAGTTACTTATTATTTTTTTCCATCAATTTTTTAAAAATCCTTTTTGACTTTTTCTCCTGGTCTTCTGTTATCCTTTCTGCAGGTCACTTCTTCAACCCCTTCATTTTCCTGGTTTATAGTTTGCTTAGGTCCTGCTTCTGCATATGAATCCTTCCATAAGTTGTACCAAAACTATCATGGGAGATATTTTTCTTCTTCAGCTTGAGGGCTTTTGGCATTTTCATAGATAATTTATAAAGGTCAGCGGATGCCTGGTGTGTCCTCCTCAGAATCAGATCCAATGAGGGTCCCATCTCTTCCAATTCAATCCGTGGTGTTCGGGAACCAGATTTCTTCAATAGCAGCTTATATCTTCGAAAGTAAATCTTCCCATTCAGTGCAGTGAAGTGCGGAACATACTCTAATCCAGCCAGGCAGATATTTGATACTGTGGGGCCTCTAAGGAAATCAGTGAGAAGACTTTTTAGTCTTCTATAATCTTCTGTTACATCAAGATCATCACCAGCAAATATTAACATGGATTTTGTTTCCTCAGGACATTTACTGTTCTTAATGTCTTTTAGAGAGACAAAATTCTCAATACCTGATTCAATCATATACAGCACATGGTAGTCATGCATACGACCTATGACTAGCTTATTTGGCCGCTTCTTATTATAGGAGCCAAACATGAATAAAGAACAATCTGACTTCTTTGAAAAGAATTCCAGCAATGTCTGATCCTTAAAAGGTCTTATAATATTTTTATTTTTATACAGTACACCATATGGTTTTTTGAGTGCATATATATCTTTATATATATGCGTGTGTGTGTGTGTAATTGCGTTTTAGGTTTTGGGGTACATGTGTGTCACTGTTGCATTTGCACTTCCCCGTTTAATCAGCATGGCATTTTCAATATTTTCATTGAGCTTCAGTTCTCTCTTAAGGAATCTCTTGGCTCTTTTCGTTTTGGGCTTTGCAACTCAATCTGGAGCGTCCATTGCTACCGCTACCTGCAACTCTTAACTGGGTGAATGCCAACATTAGTTATTTTTTAGCAATCATGGATTTTGGGCTTGCTTTTATAGAAACTATCGTTAACAGAATGAATACACGGCCATCTAAAAGAAGAAAAATATCTTACCAGAAAGTAAACAGAGATGTCTTACACACTGATTGGCACTAGATTATGCACACTGAATGAACGAATGTTTTGACAAAACTGTATTTTATTGATCTGCATTTTAATCCAAATGTTTTGTCTTCAGCAAAGCGAGAAGAAGAAAAGAGATGGGACGTAGGTGGAGGTAAGGACAGATAAGTTGTTAAGTATAAGAAAATGATAGATCAGGTAGATAAACAAGAGTGTGGCAAAAGAAACAAGGAGAATTAGTATTAATCACACTTAGCTAAGGTGCTTTAAACTGCTACATTTCTTCCTTCCTACATCTCTTCTGAGGAACTTATTATTACAAATATAAACAATGTTGTCTTTTGCTTTTCACATTGGTTAGATGCCATATTTTCTTGACCCCATTTTACTCAGAAATATTATGTCATAAGTCTGATTTGAGAGATATTTTAAGTCTCAAGATAGCTAAAAGATTAAAACTGAAAAGATTATATTGTTCAAACTTTCTGTGAATCCCTGAAAGGTTAACTTTTTATAGAGATTTGATTGATTTTTGAATGAACTTTTAGTTGTCAGAAATAGATCTTCTGTCTCAAATGATTCCGTGCAACCTTTATAACCTTTATATCTAAAAGTACTGTGCAACTGCTTTTTGATGATTTTCAAAGAAGTTAGGATTTGATGTAAAAATCAGAGATCTTTTTTTTTTCCATTGGGGATAGAGACATGAGGATTCTAGGCAAGTAATTGGCAACTGAATCATTAAATTGTCAATATTCCAAAAACTGTTCAACTGTTCGAAATATAATTTGAAATAATCTTTCTAGTAATTTTCAGTGATAAATCACTTAAACACACTGGCAATTATAGTAGACCCATGTGATCTCTTTACACATTTAAACTTTCCTTCCAAATAAGCTTTTAAATGCCTATGTAACAATTCTTTTACATCTAACAAATTGTGATGCTATTTTAATCTATATCAATCAATGAAATAGTATTTTCTTGATAGTGTATAGATTATAATACACTTATATTAGCTTATTTTAGAAAAAATAGACAATGGTAGAAACTTTAGAGAAATAGATTTTAATTTTTAATTATCTAAGATCAAGACACAGTGGTCTTTTCTTGATATTGAGTAATGTTGAAGATAGGTTTTTTTTTTTTTTTTTTTTTTTTGGAAAATAAATTTTGGAGACAAAAGTATCTGTTTTTAGGTTCATGCTTAAAGCAATTTTCAGGAAATATAATACTTCAATACGCCATTAACCTGACTTTTTTTCTGTGTGGACAAAAGTAATACACTCGGTATTTTTCATACCAGATGGACAACTTTGGTGACAGATAAATTCGCTTCATTCTTTTGACTGCCAATATCTTATTATTCTGGCAACATCTATGAAGTGAAAAGCCTAACATCCTTGCATGATATGGTATATTTATCCAGGACTTGAACTTAGGTTGATATTTATACATATAAAGAAAACCTATTCAAGAGGGGGAAATATTCAGGTATTTAAACTTATAAGCAAAACTAGGAAAACATACTAGCAGTAAGTACTAGCAGTATTTGCAGTAAAAGCCAAAATATTATATAATAGTGAAAATTTGTTATATCTGTTATTTTTTGGGTTATATATTCCTGGAACCATATTCCAGTTTTTTAATTTTAATATTAGTTAACAACTTTGTACATTTACCAGGTACTCTCCATTTAATCTTGGCAACCATCCTGTGGGATAGACACTATTGTTGTATGAAATATAACAAATTTTACAAAAGAGGAAACTTTTTTTCTTAAGAAATCCTTTCTTGGAGCATATTATATGCCATACATTATATTGAACACTGAAAAATCACTTAATCCTAACAATTCTTTGAGGTGGGCACTTTGACTGTCTTCACTTTAAAGATGAAAAATTGGGTTAAGTAAAAATAGAGTTAAGTAATTTTCCCAGTGTCATACAACTACTAAGTAGTACAGCAAAATTACAGACTCAATCAGCCTGGCTTCAGACTACTGCTTCAAACCTTCTTCTCAAATGTCATTTTTCATTTTTTACTTCCCTCTATTATTTTCATTAAGAGGTTAAGGAATCTTTTCAGGCCCCATCTTTTTTTCTAATTTTCTCCATTTCCTCCATTAAATTTTAATAGCGCAGATATACTTTTTAAGTATTATATGTCTATATGTGCCTTGTGTATAAAAGAAAAAGATTTTGTTTATAACTCAGGAGGCATTTTTTGTACCTATTGGAAAGATAGCATTTCTGCTGTGGGGGTATGACTTAGAGGGATGGAAAATATATTTAAACTGAGGCCTCTATGTAATATCACCTTTAAACTCTAACAGAGGGGCCCCTTCCCTGGCTCCTACACATTAGGAAATCCTACTTAAGTCCTGTGTCCATGCCTCTTGCCATGGGGCAAGGAAACCAAGAGATTCATGGATATATAATCCCATCATTTTCAACTGAACTAAAAAATCAGATAATAAGAATTTCCAGTTAAATGGACTGGCTCCTGCTTCTACTTTGGCCAGAAGTTTAAGTCTAAATACATGGTAGGATGAGCACCTCTGGCCATGAGTGTAGTGGTTACAGGAATCTTTAAACAGAATTTGGATATACAAGCTAGGATGTTCATATATGTGTGCAAAAGGTCTTCTGTGATGCACAACACAGCAGGCAGAAGAAAAGTTAATAGTCCATAGGCCAGGATAGGGGTGCCAGGCTTCTTCTGGTCATTCTCAGTGCAGAGCTTTAAGAAGTTTGAGAATTCTAAACTGGAATATGGTCTTTAAAAAAGAATGTTATAGGCCAAGCATGGTGGCTCATGCCTGTAATTCCAGCACTTTGAGAGGCCAAGCTGGCTGGATCACTTGAAGCCAGGAGTTCGAGACCAGCCTGGCCAACATGGTGAAATATTGTCTCTACCAAAAATACAAAAATTAGCCACACATAGTGTCACAAACCTATAATCCCAGCTACTCAGCTGGCTGAGGCATGAGAATAGCTTCAACCCAAGAAGCTGAGGTTACAGTGAGCTGTGATCGTGGCACTGCCACTCCAACCTGCACGACAGAGCGAGACCCTCTAACAACAGAAAGGAAGGAAGGGAGGAAGGAAGGGAGGGAGGAAAGGAGAAAGGGAGGCTGGGAGGGAAAAAGGGAGGGAGGGAAGAAAGGAAGAAAGAAATGAAGTTATAAAAGAATATTATTTAATATTTTGTTAGCCTGATTTATAAGTTTCAAATATTGTGAGACAGAGCATATAGACTTTTCATTGCACTCTTAAATCAGGAAAGAAGTGATCTACCCTATCTAACTCCAGGAAAATACACAATCTTAATCCTTATGTTGAGTGGCTTCTTCAAATCTGGATGGAAAATGGGTTGATGAAAATAACCAAGCATTGATTCTAGCTTTCCTGTGTTAATGAGAAGAAGCATCCTCTCCTTGATTGTATGTTATCTGACATTTATTTGAAAAGTCTTTGTAAATTGTATGTGTAAGCAGTATACAAGAAAGCATGAGGGAATCGTTTTGTGAGCTCGTGAGTGGTACCTTTGAGAATAGTGTCTAAAATGGAGTTTATCTCAAAATTTCCTAGAACTATGGACTTTATTCTATCCCACTGCTTTCTCCAACTATTTGTGGATGGTAAACAAATTCAGTGATTTTCATTTACTAACTAGTCTTTAAGGCATCACTTATGAGATTTGGCAAGCTTTCCTGTGAATTTCTGTTACTGTAATTTAGAAGTTTCGAGAGTTTTTATAGATATTCTATCATGTTGACAGTCTGTCTTGTTCAAAGCCTTCTTGTAGTTTAAAAATTACTATATTGTTGATCTTAAAAAGCTTCCAATTTTCAACAAAACACAACTTCAAAAAAATCAATATTATAGTAGCTCAGTGCTTAGCAATGATTTATGAAGAATAGAAAACAAACATAGCAAGAATAACAAGAGAGAATAAAAAAGAAAAGTCATTCATACAAGGTCAAATTTTCTTGATAAATAGAGAATGTCCAACCAAAAAATAATTAAAAGTTATACACATTCATTTCGAAAATGTTCTTTGAAATTTCCATTTATACATGAATAAACCCAACACCCAAATCCTCTACAGGAAAGCTGTATGCTTTGAGAAAAAATAACGTGGTAATATAAAAATTGTTCAGAAACTTTACATATTCTATTAAAAAGGTTTCTGTCTAATCATTTTAATAGCTTTTCTATTAGAACATTGTGATTTTATGAAGTTAAAATTAAGGTGCTGGTTATATCTAGCACTCTGAAAATTATTCTTAATTCTATAGACGGAAGCCAACTTGAATATAGAGTAAGATTTTAGCCGTTTTTGCCTGTAAAATCTCCTCACCTGAATGCTGCTAATACTTCTGAATCAGCCAATTTGAAAAATAGCTAGTGTTACTTACAATGATGCTAAACTGCTTGTGGATAAATCCTAAGCAAAGCATAATTGAGGTGATTTGTGTTACTATGTGTTATATGCATAGTGTTACTATGAATATAATATTTATTTTCTGAT